CGACGCGCCGCCCATTTGTTACCACTAAATCGGACGTGGTGATATAATTAGAAAAATATGGAGGGGCCTTAAGCGAGTCTATTGGCGGTCTCAGAAATCATTACCTCTACCCTTCTCAAGAACCTAAAAATTGTTTACTATCCCCGACACACGTTTTCCCAAGTCTTTGGTCAAAATAAACAGTTGCAAAAGCTCAATGTCGGCAGCATCGGTTGCACAGCTTATAAACGATCCGTTATTGTTCTTAAACTATGAAACCCTCGTGAAAGGCATGCAACAGTATCAGTTTTCTGAGAAACTTTTGACAAACAAGTAACCATAATGCACCGACCGAATGCTTTTGACCGGAAGTTAAAAGGCACTTTTTCAAGGAACAGCTGTGGTGCCACATGAATTATCTGTGCTCCATGCTATGGAGCGTATCTCTTCAGGCGCGACGGTGTTTTCGCAAACCAGTGTGTTTTGACCGACTGCGTGGAGCAGGTTCTGGGCCTACTTCTACCTCCGGCGGTGGGCAACGGCTTCAGGTCGATAGCACAAACAACTATCTTAAGGGAGCAGGCAACGGAAACTGCACTTGAACAAGCTCAGTCGTCTCTACTGAATGACCTAGTATGCCCTCAAGATACTGCTGCAACGAGTTTGGACTGCATCGATCAAAACAAAATGCTCAGCTTCACTCGCAGAATGATCTTAAGATGCAATTTGGCTTTGTCCTAGTAGTCGCCTACTAGTGAATGGAGTATTTAAGCGGCCACCATACAAAGTCGGTAATGTCAAAGGATCAGATTTCCCATTTGTGGTTGACTGTTTCCCATGTATGACAAGTTAAGTAAAAGCAATGCATATCAGACAGCACCATCTCTCCAACTGGAACGGATATCATAGACAAACGCCGTATGTGACATGGCGTAATCAGGTGTATGGTGCAAATGATAGCTAGTAAATTTTGCAGAAAAACTAAACGATGAATCGTCGGAATTACCAAGTCATTTTTGTTTGCGACGCAGCGAAAACTAAAGGGTGTTTTGTCTATTATTAGAATTTTGGCACCTGCGTTCTTGCCTTCTATACCTAACATTCAAATGGTGTAATATGGAGTCCAGACGACTCAAAAGAATGAAGCTGTTGACTGTCCTAACTTAAAGCTCTCACTCATGATTGTAACGTACATACTGCCTAGACACTCCACGTAGACAGGACGTTGATAGCTCGAATCTTGTTCCGGTGAGCGTCAACGCTAGGCCAGGTTGGGGAGGTGATGTTATAAGTGAACTCAATCCGGAGGGACTTTGTCGTCTGTCAGACAATTTTTATGTCAAGACTTTTAACATATTGTGACAGTTTAAAACTA